CGACACCATGATCGATTCTTGCTCTTCTTGTTCGTACGCTTAACGTGAGAATACGTGTTTCTGACCACGCGAGTTACGATCAAGTACGCCATTTTTGAACACGCGACGCAGTTTTGTTTCTCTGTCCACGCGCGTTTATGTATCTTACGCATTATTATTTGTACATAGTGTAAATAAACTTTGTTAATAATTAATCAAGGTGCGTGTTTCACTTTCCGTCCTCGCTGGCCATGCAATTTCGGTTACATTTGGTCCTTCGAGCCGGATGAGACACGCCCTTCGCGCAACGGTTCGTGACGACGCAGTTTAGTTCACGCGATTCCGTTGAACGCTTTTCAGTTTGTTAGTGTTAAGTGAGCTCGTAGACTCCTTTAGAGTTAGTGATTTTGAGACTGTGACTCTGTAGTTTTTTCTGTGACATTTTTTGGTTTCTTTTGTGACATTTTTCAGTTTTTGGTGACATTTTTAGTTTATAATGGACACACAGTGCAACGTTAGTTTAGTGCTCAGAGACGCTTAATTCAAAGACTAACGATGCCGAAATCTCGGGACGCCTCGCCTGCCTCTCAAGATGGCTCCGTCTGTCCAGCAGTCCTGCCAAGGCGGATGAAGAAGCGCCTGCTGCGCCACCTCTGCTTGAGGTGCCGGAGGAGCCTACGCAGCCCTCGCAGGTCTCACGCCCACGCTCGCCCGCTCGGCTCTCGTCGGAGTTACAAGTCCGCGCCAAGGTCCAGGAGGAACGCCTGGATACGATGCTCTCGATCGTAGAGGATCTCCAGGCTTCCGCTGCCAAGGAACCTCTTGAGATTCTCCGCTCGGAAATAGAGATCACGAAGACCACGCTTGTGGAGATGCACTTGATGTTTCTTCAGGAGCATCAGGCGCTGAGTCGACTCTGGCCCGTCTCCCAACTGGACCACGGGTATTATAAGTCCAAGGTGGCCTCGCAAGAAGACAAGGTGGTTCTGACCGCGCTCAAAATTGATCGCTCAGTTGGAGCACCGCCTGAGCCCGCCGTCGACAGCGCAGCCCACAACGCCCACGCAACCGTCCACGCCTCGCCGCTCACGTCTGCCTGAGATCGCACTCCCCAAGTTTGAAGGAGAATACAGTAGGTGGCACCAGTTCAAGGCCACCTTTGCCTCAGTGATCCGAGACCGCGACGACCTTACTGATCTTGACCGGTTCCATTATTTGAAGGAAACCGTGTCAGGAAACGCCGCTCAGCTGATTGAGCATCTGCCCACGACAGAAGAGGCCTTCGCCCAAGCGTGGAAACTTCTCGACGAGCGCTACGAGAATAAGCGCCTCAATATTCAGACGCACATGGACAGGATTTATAATTTAAAACCGATGAAGGTCAGGAAGGCGGCCTCGCTCACCAAAATGGCCAACATCATTGGTGAGACGCTTGAAGCCTTGAAGAGCTTCGGGCTCTATGATGAACATAACTGTTTCCTCATCACCACGCTCGTCCGCCTCCTGGACCCCGATACGAGAGAATTCTGGGAGTCGTCGCTGTCCACGCAGACGGAGTTTCCGACCATGAATCAGCTGTCGAAGTTCCTGGTGGCCCGCGCTCGCATGCTGGAGCAGCTCGAACCCCACCCGGATGCCAGGCCTACGCAGACCACTCAGGCAGCCAGCAGGACCTCTCAGCCCACGCCGCAACGCTCTGAGCCTTCGAGGGTGGCAACTCACGCAGCGTCGACCCGGACTACGCCGCCCACGCCCGCCGCTCACGCTGGGTACACCACGGCGCAGAGGGCACGACAGTCCGCTCTCTACCCCTGCGCGAATTGTGAAAGGGACCATTTCCTGGCCGCGGGTCCGGCCTTCAGAGACCTCTCGATGTCAGAGCGCGTGAACGTGATAAAGGCACATGCGCTCTGTATAAACTGTCTTGGGCACCACAACTTGCGGAGCTGTCGGACAACGCAGCGGTGCAAGCTGTGTGAGGAACACCATCACACCACCCTGCACGGAGGTGATGTAAGCCGGGTGATGGTGCCTGGGTACCAGACGTCGCAGCCAGCCGCAGCAAGGACCTCGCAAGCCCCGGCTTCCGCACAGACCTCGAAGACCACGCTGTCAACATCAACCGCAAACTGAAGGGTTGGTGCAATCGTCGACGCCCACGCAGCCTGTTCAGCCCACGCATTAAAGGACCGCTCAGACCACGCACTGAGACCACGCAGACCACGGACCACACTTCTAGCAACGGCACTCGCCAGAGTGCACACTGACCTCGCAACGCAGCAAGTAAGAATTCTCGTTGATTCAGGCTCTGAAGTCTCGCTTATTTCAAAGCCTTTAGTCACTCAGCTTAGACTCAGAAGACAACGCTCCTCATTGGATGTCCACGGAGTTGGTGGAGCAAGGACCTCGCAGACGAATGGAGTGGTCAATATTACCCTCCATTCAAACTACAGGCCGCTCTCAGTCACTGTTCAAGCACACGTGCTTACGAAGGTGACCACTTGCTTACCATCGGACCCACCAGCTCGTCCAATGCTGCCACTGCATCTGGAGAAATTGAACCTCGCAGATCCTGAATTTCTCGTATCCAGACCGGTGGACATCATTCTCGGAGCAGACGCATACGGGCAAGTCATCAAGCCAAACATTATTCTGCACGCTTCATCACCGTTGATCGCTCAACTTTCGATCTTCGGTTGGTTCGTAATCGGACCCCTCGAGGGCTCTCAGACCACTTGCAGGACTTCTCATCAGGTGACGGTCAATAATACCGATCGCCAATTGAGTGAGTTACTCAGCCGCTTCTGGATGCAGGAAGAGCCACCGCAGGACACAGCACCCTTCCTCACACCAGACGAGCAAGAGTACGAAGATCATTTCAAGACCACGCATTCAAGAGACTCCTCAGGAAGATACATCGTGCAACTGCCGCTCAAACTACACCCACGAACACTCGGCAATTCGTATCAGACGGTGCACAATTGTCTTCAGCGGATTCTCAGATGACTCAGCAAGGACGCCCAGTACAATCAGCTGTACACCAAGTTCATGCTCGAGTATGAGCAGCTTGGTCATATGGTAAGACTGAACAACGACTCAATAACTAGTCCGTTTCAGTACTTTCTTCCGCATCATGGCGTTCTGAAGTTGGGCAGCACGACCACCGCGTTGCGTGTGGTTTTCAACGGCTCCAGTCCAACTTCATCAGGATACACGCTGAACGATCTTCTACACACCGGTCCAAATCTGATGCTGAATATCGCAGATCTGCTCATCTGGATACGCAGATACAAACACCTGTTTGCAACCGACGTCACGAAGATGTACCGCCAAATCAAGGTGCATCCTGAGGACTGGAGCTTGCAGCAGATACTCTGGCTTGATGACACGCAGAAGGGAACGCAGTATCAGCTGACCACGGTCACGTACGGGACGAAAGCTGCACCGTATCTGGCTGTGCGAACACTCTTGCAACTCGCTGACGACGAAAGGTCGAAATATCCCCTTGCCGTGGGTCCCATAAAAAATGGCAGGTATGTCGATGACATTTTTGGTGGCGCAGATACCGCAGAACAGCAACAGGATGTTGCGTGTCAGCTGACGCAGCTTTGCCAAGCGGGTGGATTTCCACTGGCCAAATGGCATTCCACGAGCAAATCGTTGCTAGAAGACCTCGCAATAGATCAGAAGAACGCAGCAATATCATTCGACGACTGCACAACCAAGATTCTCGGAATTAAATGGATTCCACATCAGGACACGTTCAACTTCTCGACCATATCAGCTACGCAACGCACGCAGTTCATGAAACGCCTCATCCTCTCCGAGGTAGCTCAACTCTTTGATCCACTCGGTTTTGTTGCACCTGTAATTATCAGAGCCAAAATTCTCATACAAGAGCTTTGGTTACAGGAACTCGGTTGGGACGACATTCTGCCTTGTCATATCATTCAAAGATGGCTGCTCATCAGGGAAGATCTTACCAGTCTGGCCAGACTTTCCATCCCACGATGGTTCAACACAACGACCACGTCTACAGTTGAACTTCACGGGTTCTCTGATGCCTCAGTCCTCGCAATGGCAGCAGTCGTCTACCTCGTTGTCCACTCACCGTCCACGGGTATCCACACATCTCTGATCTGCTCGAAAACGCGAGTGACACCACTCAAACTTCTGACCATCCCGAGGTTGGAACTTACAGCAGCGCTGCTACTTTCTATACTGATGCGGCATGTTCACGCTACTTTGAACATGACCGTCACTCAGCCATTTTTGTAGACGTACTCAGAAGTCACGCTTGCATGGATCAAGACGCACCCCTCCAAATGGAAGGATTACGTACGCAACAGGGTAATCCAAATCCAGGAGATCACGCAGAACTATCACTGGAGGCATGTACCAGGATCATCGAATCCAGCTGACTGCGCGTCAAGAGGCATGACGACAGACCAGCTACAGCAGCACTCGCTTTGGTGGACGGGACCACCGTGGTTCACGCAATCTCAGAACGCATGGCCCAAGCAGATCAGCGGTGACGCAGATCAGCGGTGACGCAGACAAGCTAGGAGCTCCAGAAGCTCATACTGAGGTTGCACTGCACACGTCCAACGCACTCAAAGAATATTCCTGGCAATTAATTTATAAATATTCTTCTTTCAACAGATTGCTCAGAATAACATCTCTCTGCCTCACATTCGTGGACAAGCTGTTCAAACGAACATGACGCTTCGCCCACGCACTTCACCTCAGCAGCTGATATGGAAAGGGCCAAAATCTACTGAATTCAGGCCACGCAGTCCGCCTTCTTCAAGGATGAACTCGCTGCACTTGCCAAAGGAACAACGCTTCCGTCGACGCATCCGTTCACGAGGCTCACCGCTTACCTTGACCATCAAGGAATCGCCAGAGTAGGCGGACGCCTTCAACATTCAGAGCTTTCGCACAAAGGCAAACATCCTGTCATCTTGCCTCGTGATTCAAGATTCTCAGCGCTTCTCATCGACCACGCATATCTTCAGACCATGCATGGAGGTACGCAATCCACTCTTGCCTTTCTCAGACAACGATACTGGATTCTCGGTGGACGAGCTCCAGTGAAGACGCATATCCTGCGGTGCGTAAAGTGTGCTCGGCAGAGGGGGATCCGTGCCCATCAACTGATGGGCCAACTACCTCTTTGTCGAGTCACTCCATCGCGCCCGTTCACGCACACTGGTGTGGACTATGCAGGACCGCTCATGCTGAAGACTTGGAAAGGCAGAGGAGCCAAGATGCAGAAAGGGTGGATTTATGTATTCGCCTGCTTCGCAACCTCAGCCGTACACTTGGAAGTTGTTACCGACTACTCAGCAGACGCATTCATCGCAGCCTACCGTAGATTCGCATCAAGGAGAGGAACTGCAGCCTCCCTCTACTCAGACTGCGGCACCAACTTCCAAGGAGCGGACGCGCAGTTGAAGAAGCAATTCAAAGACAGCACACGCGAAAATCAGGACATCGCAGCTCTACTCGTCAAGGATGGCACGCAGTGGCATTTCAACCCTCCCGCCGCTCCACACATGGGTGGAAAATGGGAGGCGGTGGTCAAGTCTCTCAAATTCCATCTGAAGAGGACGATTGGAGATACTTTATTGACGTACGAAGAATCAATAACATTGCTCGTGCAGATCGAAGCCATCCTCAATTCAAGACCGTTGGAACCACTCAGCGAAGATCCAGACGACGTCTCAGCCCTCTCACCAGGACATTTCCTGATCGGCTCGCAGATCAACGCAATGCCAGAGCCAACGCTTCTCGACGTCGCAGTCAACAGATTGACAAGGTGGCAATTTCTGCAGCAGCGCCTCCAACAATTTTGGAGACTCTAGTCCACGCAGTACCTGCAACGACTCCAAGCCATCTCGAAATGGCATCATCCATCCAACGAAGTCAAGGTAGGCTCTCTTGTTCTCATTACTGATGAACGCTTGCCCCCAGGGAAATAGCCCATGGCCAGGGTTCTCAGTCTGATGCCAGGAAAGGATGGACTGACCAGGGTCGTCAATCTCAAGACGGCCACCACGACGCTCACGCGGCCCATCGCCAAGCTGACTCTTCTTCATCAACCCTCTCAGGACAGCGCGGACACGCAGACCACATCACCGACCAGTCGCTGATGGCCGGGGGGAAATTTTGGCGAAATTCCCCAAATTATCGCAGACCGTACGAAGTTGGCAACAAAAGTATTTTGTCGGTGCGTCGTTACCGATAGCGGCAGCACCTTTCGGGCCCACTTTGTCCACGCGGAACCGGCACGATCGACACCATGATCGATTCTTGCTCTTCTTGTTCGTACGCTTAACGTGAGAATACGTGTTTCTGACCACGCGAGTTACGATCAAGTACGCCATTTTTGAACACGCGACGCAGTTTTGTTTCTCTGTCCACGCGCGTTTATGTATCTTACGCATTATTATTTGTACATAGTGTAAATAAACTTTGTTAATAATTAATCAAGGTGCGTGTTTCACTTTCCGTCCTCGCTGGCCACGCAATTTCGGTTACAGTGGTCAAACGTCACGCATGTGTTGCGACTTCGACGTTTCGCAAAGAACACGTCACCCGAGAACGTTCCTCTCGATGATGACGAGAGAGAGAGAGAGCGTTGTATCGCGCTTCCCGATTAGTCGGGAAGGATCGGATGATCCTAAACAATAGAAAAGGCTCGTTTTCGACGTAGCGCGTTTGTCATCCGCTTTCCTATAGATGGTTGACGGGTGACACTCGCGCGACACGGCGTGTCAAATCTATTAATTACATGCGCACATTTCAGCGGCGTCTATCGGACGCATTTTTACCTACACTCTCAAACACAACAGATATATTCTACAAGATGCAAAAAGTTTCGTTCCGATTGGTCCATACGTCTCGGATTAATCGGCGAACATACATTTAGAAAAAAAAGTCGTTAGGAATGAAAAAATGCAAAATGTTTTTTTAACGGGACCAATCGAGAGACATACTCTACCAGGTGCAAAAGGTTTTGTTCCGAATGGACCATCCGTCTCGGAGTATTCGGCGAACATACATAAAAAAAAAAAATATACACATCGAATTGAGTATCTTCCTCCTTTTCGAAGTCGGATAAAAACTATTTTGCCTTGCGCACGTGTTGACTCTGTAAGACACAGTACGATAATGGCCGCTCAGCGTTCTTCTTCGCACACAGTTCCACGGTGGTAACCGTAGGAAGTAGACGTGGTTACAAGGAGTAGGTTTTTAAGGAGCAGTTTAGGGAAATAGTTTTCCCGTGGGGATTGGGGTTTTTTGTTAGAAGATTTCCAAGGGGAGTTTGGTTGTGTGAGTTTCCTTTTTAGGGGCTTTTCTATAAAAGCGGGGATAAAAGAGGAAAATTGATAGTAGTAAGGGCGTGGACCCCCCCTGCGACAGTTCACTGTCGCAGGGAGGAGAGGTGAAAAGGACGGTAAAGCTAAGAACAGAAGCAAAAGTGAAGGTAAAGCATCGTGGAAACTGAAGGAACTTAAGTGTGGAAAATAAAGGATTGGAGTGTGAGTTTGAAGCGGAGTATCTAGAAGAAGACGTTGAAGCTAGAGAATTTTTTGAAAATTTGAGTAAGGGAAGGGAGTTGATAGAAGATACCAACATAAATCTGGAGGCAGTGTTGGGGAAAAATGGTAACTATGGAGCGGAAGGAAAGGGAAAAACAAGAGAGTCCCTAGACTCCCTTGGTGAGGGGACTGCGCAGCATGCGGCAATTGGCAACGCCAGCACAAAGGACGCGAGTAGGCAGGAAAGTACGGCGTCACAGTGTTGTAAAGGCGACGCAGAAGCCAAGGTAGGGACGGAAGAGAATAGGAAAGTAAGGAAAAGAGTGGCGGAAGAAGCTGCTTATAAAGGAGAGGAAGGTAAAAAAAGAGATAAAAGAGAAGTCGAGCCTGGACCCGATACTAACAATCCAAATATAGGTAGTACGGGACAGGATAAAGAAACACACCGGGGAGAGCCGATAGCAGAGAACGTGTTGGAAGAGAATAGTGAAAATAAGGAATCGAAAAATAAGGAAGGGAACGTGGAAGAAAGCAGGATTATCAAAAGAAGAACTAGAGGTGAGAATAGAGCTTTTTATGTCGAGGAATTAAAGAGCCGGAAGTACGTGGTAACCATGGTTCTGGGAAAGGAAACTACCAGCAAGTTTAAAAGAAACAATATTATTAAGATATATAAGTTGTGACGGGTTACCGTCTAGACAAAACGGCTTTCGGCGATCAAAAATCTGTAACTTCGGTTCTTTGGAAATATTTTAATGAAATTTTGGGAAGTTTTTGCCTATATTATGGTACTTACGTTGTAACAATATAAATCATATTGAACTACAGGGTGTCAAAATATTCACGTATAAAGTGTAACGCGTTCAATATCCTTCACTTGTTAGACATATTTTATGTCATTTAACAAAAATTTGACTCAAAACTGTTAATAACTATAAGAGAAACGGATTTAATAATTAAAAAATGACAAGATATGTGTTATTTTAATATATTTATTTATATTTATTATGATCTATACCAAATCATTATAGCATATTGCAAGGACGAAATAAAGTTTTGGATGACGAATATACACGTGGAATGCAGTTAACTGGTTAATAATCATATCTGGTACTGTTTTTCTATCATCGTGCGCAGCGGCCAAGGTGGGTGTAATTTCATTCAATCGCCATTTTTTTGAATAAGTGCAAAAACGTGCACCCAATTTTTTCAGCTTCTGATAAAGGGAGGTTCACTCATTCCTGTAGTAATAATTAAACATTCGGCAAGTGCCGGCATTTTTTTTAAATCAAACGCAAAGTTGAAATTTTAGTTAAATGTACTTCGTTTCAATTAGATCCTATTATTTAAAAAGTTGTTAACATTTTAACTTACTTTATGCACTGAATAGAATCTATACTAATCTAGTAAACTTTATAATTCATTTGATTTTTATCTTTCCGGGTAAAATTCATTAGAATCGTACATTAAAGTTACGGGTAATATCATCAGCGTTTCGTTCTGACGAATTTCTACTGACTTTGAGTGCGGACCACGGCAAAACGGAAACAAATATGAAAAAAGGGATTACACTACGTTAAACTACAGTTTATTCTCTATCGATATACGCAAATAGTTTTTCAATTCTCGAATTCACGAAAATCGACTTTTGATCGCGGAAAGCCGTTTTGTCCCACTGTGCGGCGGTGCGACAAGCTTTTTCCTTTCTTAAAACATAATGGCGTTGTTGTTAACGCGTGCGTTGTTTCCGATGAGTTCGGACGTTCACCAGACTTGACCTCGTCAGCTATATGACGTGTTGCCTCGAGGGTATGCGCGATGTCATACGCAGCTTGAAAGGTAGCTGGCTTTTTTGCGATAATTTCGTCGCACGTATTACGATCTATGATACCATGTAAATGCTGTTCAGTAAACATTCTATCTAGGAAGTATTCATATTCGCAATGTGCTGCATCCTGCTTTAAACGTAACGCAAAATTCGCGATATTCTCGCCTCTTTGTTGTTTACTGAGCCGAAATTTGATGCTTTCCGCGTATTTGTTTTTTGCGCTGTCGAAGTGAGCGATAAGTGGCGCGCGGATCTCTGCATATGTGAAAGTCTCGGGTTCACGCGATGCTACGAGCAACTTTAACGCGTCTTTTAGCTTCACGCTCATGTGCACGCGTGCAAAATTCGTATGTTGACTGTCAGGAATTTTACTTAGCTGTAATGCCCAATCGAAGCGTTTGAAATAATCCTCCACGGTTATACCCTCCAATGATTGAAACTCTCAGATTGCAAATGGCGGATGCCTTGGCCGGTCGACTTACTGCGCACTGCTTGTTTCGTTGGTAACCATAGCGGCGGCACCGGTGATAGATGAGCATGCTTGTTATTGCTTCGAGCAAATCAGGCGGTATTTCCTTGGACATGCTTGTGACTGATGCTACTTCCGTACACTTGTCAATTGCGCGCCAACTGCGTTCCCTTCTCACTTTGTGAAAAAAAATGTCCATTTACATCTAATAAGCACTAATTTGCAACATTCTGACACCAAATGTTATGTCTTAAATTCGTTTATTATACAAAAACCAAAATAATATAGTTATTTACATCTTGAGTACTAATAAGAATGAATGGGTTGTTGCGTGTCCGTTCGCGGAAAATAGGGATATTTGGGGAATTAAGGCGCAGGTACGACAATCCGTGGAGCGCGGAGGCGCTCCGCTCGCAAGGCGCGGAGAATGAAAATTATAAACTATTATCTACTGTTGGTTACGGTTTGAAGTTCGACTCTTTATTAAAATGTCTTGATTACTATTATGTTAAAATGCGCTAACTTGCGACTCGAGAACAACTTGTCTGATTCAAGCTACAAAATCATTTTGCCAGTTCTGGGTTTGGCGGAGGAGATCTTCGCGCGTTGTCGGTCGATGCCCCTTCCTTGGTGGATCCTGGATCCTCCCTCAGGATCATCCCTCGTCCAATGGTGGAGGAGTCCACCCCGTCTCGTATGGGCCCCTTTTCCTGGCTGTGGTCCACCCTCAGGCGCGTGGAAGTGGAGGCGCTCCGCCAAGACGCTAGAACGTTGCAGCGCACATGTGCTACGAGAAAGCGTGGGACCCAGAGAAATTAGGAAACGACAAGACGTTGTACTTGCCAAAAGGCAACTCTTGAGGAAATTTACGATCCTCTTAGAATGCATGAAAAGACAGGATATCGAAAACGACTTCGTAGCTTTTAAGGACCGTTCGTGACTTGGTCGAAAATAACGAATTTGATATGGTCCATCATAAATTAGTCTTTCAGGAATTTTCAAAGTGAAACTATTCCATTCGCT